GGACGACTGGCGCCGTTTCAAGGAATTAGAGGTCGATGCCATTATGAGCTTCCAGTGGTCGCAGCTCGCCCCTTCGTACCTCCCAAACACGTTCCCATCGCTAGCCGAATACCGCCGCCAGAACCTGCAAGCCTATGCCGAGATCGAGAAAGCTGGTCGTCCCGTCACATACGGAAGTGACTGGCCAGTCGACCCTCTCGACGAGTTCCTCGCTCTGAAGATAGCAGTCACGCGTTCAGGTGATCCTGGTAATCCACACTCCTCGGCATCCCAGGGCGCTCCCTATAATGGCACGTTTCCTGGTGAAGGCATCTCCCGCGAAGCTGCTCTTCGCGCCATCACCATCAACGGCGCCAAATTTCTCAGGGCCGACAAGTACATTGGATCCCTGGAGGTTGGCAAATTTGCTGATTTGATTGTCTTGGAGAACGACTATTTCACTGTGCCGGAAGAGATGATTGGTCGCCAACGTGTTCAGCTCACGATGGTTGGAGGTGAGGTGGTGTATATTGCCAAAGAGGCTGATCAGAAGTTTGGCAATATCACAGCCAAGTATCCTAACGATGACGAAGCGAGTGTCGCCCTGGATCGTAAGGCAATCGGCGGCTTGGACCGCAAGCAGGTGTCGATGAAGGGAGCCGTGAATGCAGCAAGACTGAGGAAGAGGAATGAGTGCGTGCACCATTGAATTGGCGTGGCCACCTGAGGGTAGTAGTGCGCGATACATCTCTGTCAATTAGACCATGTAGCCTGTCAGTATTAGCATTGTAAACAGCGACTTATAACAACATTTGGACCAGAGTGCTTCACAAGTGAAATGACGTGTGACTGCATTGCGATGAAGGCAGTGAGATAAGCCATCCTCAGACAGAACGATGACCTTGTAAAACTACCGGAATTCGGCATAAGCGAAATGCGCTGGAGTCAGTACAGGCTGCAGTTCGCCATAAGAATACAGGCCCATCATCATGCCAGTGAAAGGCTGCCCAATGTCTGGGTTACGCGTCATGATCTGGGTATCAATCTCGCCCAGCCATGTCCAGTCAGCGCTCTGCTGTGCCCCATCGCCGACTTCCCGATAGCCAAACCGGTAGGAGGTAGCCGTACTCTCGATGGTGAGTTTTACCTCACCCTTCTCCGGGATGGGTTGCTCCACAGTCTCCATATCAGGACGGGTAAGTCGAATGATTCGTTGAGGCTGACCATTGCGATCTGCAAAAGCAATGCCAATGCTGGAGTAGCAAGTGTGATTCCAGTACAATGCAGTTCCAGCCTCGACGCGTGGGACGTTCGGTTGGAAGTCCAGTTGGGTCTCCCACGTCACCGGCCAATGTCTTTGCTTTCGCAGGAATAGCGTTGGACACGCGGGCATCGAGAGGGTGTATGGACCGCCATTTAGGGTAAGAGAATCGTGTCGCGCTGTCATCGAGTAGTCCTTCTTCACGGGTGTATCTAGGCGTGCATTAGCTTTGTACCGTATACCAGCTTCTTGCATTGCTTACTCTTCCTGTACCAGCCAAGGTCGAGCCTGACCCCGCTGAAATCGTCCCTCCAAGCCTTGTCGTCACCAAGAGTGGACTCTTTCGGCCCGTTCATCTGCAGTGTGACCGGTTTCCCTTCGTTGAAGATTGGCCAGTCGTTTTCCCAACGAATTGGGAGTAACATTGACTCGCGTCCGAAAACCGAAGTTCGCCATTCGTTATCTTCCTTCCTCGGTCGCACGCCTAAACACATGGCCCACCATTGGCCTTGGGTGTCTTCAACAATATCGCAATGACCAGTATTTTGGATCTCGTCGTCTGTTGTGTTGCGCCAAAGCGGGTTGTGCGGTGCTTGCTCCCAAGGTCCGAAGGGGCTTTCCCGACTCCGGCTCACATATTCGCAGTGCCCAGACTCTGTGCCTCCTTCCGCCGTGAAGAGATAGTAGTAGCCGTTCAACTTGAAAAGATGCGACCCCTCTGATATACCAGACTCCGACTCCCGAACCATCTTAGGCGTAGACTTCAGAGTACCAGTTTCCAGGTCAATGATAGATATGTGTATCGCAAAGTCATTCAGTTTGCCCCCAGGAGTCCGGTCAAGCTTCCTGTAGGTGGAAGACAAGTATACCTGACCATCGTCGTCCCAGAACAGGTCAAAGTCGAAACCAATCTGGTCGAAGTACACAGGTTCGGACCACGTGCTGTCGTTCCAGATGTTGGTGGTTTTGACGTAGAAGCCTCGGGGCCATACGCGATCGTCGTTTTGCGGTCTGTATCGGTCGAAAGAGTTGGTAATGATGTAGAATGTACCCTTGTGGTAACGAATGGTTGTTGCCCAGATACCGCCTCCCGGCTCAGGAGTCTTGATATCCAGTTGTGACTTGCGCGTGAGCGCATGGCCGATTAGCTTCCATTTGATAAGATCTTTACTGTGATATATGGGCGCGCCAGGAAAGTATTCGAAGGACGAGGTGACACAGAAGTAGTCGCTACCCACGCGAATGACGGACGGGTCTGGGTTAAAGCCAGGGAGAACTGGATTGGTAAAAGCAGTCATGGCGAAAGTCGCTACTCAAATTTTGGTCTTGGGGTATTCAACGTGGGATGAGGCTCAAAGGCTTGAGTATATAGGCCAATTGCGCAGCGGCTGCCATCTTCCGCTGCGAGCCGCATGCCGCGTCTGCGGATGAGGCTGAGACCATTTTGACGGCCGACAAATGGGAGCCCGATCGCGTAAAAGAACGGTCGCGCGTTTTTCCTCGAATCAAAATAGGTGTGAATGCATCTCGTGATGTTCTAGGCCTTCCGAGGAGCTATCGTGAGAGAAACACGGGGGAGATGGAGGATTGAGGGGTAAGGCTTGGCGGGGCCAAGGCGTTCCTTCACGGGCAAATCTCGGGTTTCTCAACAAAACAACACGCCCGTTTCGAGACACACGCGGCAGCCGGCACTGCCTCTGCACTCATCCAAACACATCATGTTCGCACAGAAGCGAGTGTGCCGAATATGCGCTTTATGATCGCGATACAGTGGGTAGCGCTTACATTGCCAGGCGCGCTCACATCTACTTAGTTATGCTAATAAAACATCCTCAATAGGTGACTGCCATACCACCAGGCAGCTCCGTCAGCCAGTCACCGCTTACTCCGACATCTTCAACCGCCTGTTGTGGTTTCTTGCATTTCATCGAGTCTTGCGCAGACTGAATCTTCAACACCTGACAGTTGGCGTTCGCACACTTGCCGCTTGGCAAAGCATCCATGGCTTTCTGGAGCGAGTCGTCCTTCCAGCCAAAGAGGTAGTCGCCATGCTGTCCGTAACCCGTACTGTCTCCCGTCAGTCATTGTAAAACAAGCAGAAAGAGGAGCACTCACCCATCGCCAAAGCTGTATACGAACGGCTGCTTGTTGTTGCCGTACCATGCGTTGTTCTTGTACCGGCCGGTGTCCCACATAATCTCGTACATCACCTGCGGGATAGCTACCGGGTGTGTACTGGGACAGTTTGGGGTGCCTAGACCTCCGCCGTTGGAGTATGCGACGTGGCTCTTGTGATCTGGCGAATCGAGGTTCTTCCCATCCCAGCAAGACGGAAAGATGACAGTCGCTCTGATGCCACCAGGACAGTACTTGTTGGGCAGTTCTGCGGTGTCCTTCGCGTCACAGGGTGCAAAGCCTTCTCCATTCTGCAAGCATCGATGGCAGATGCTTGCGCGATTAGGCTTCTTGGCCATGGGATCACCCGCGATCATGCGGAACCCAGGCTTGAAGGCCGTCATCTTGTTGTTCTTCGCGGAATACGGCATGTAGTACACCGTCATACCACCGTCTTGCTGGAGCCCTACGTTGGCGAACTGGGGCACACGTTGGAATGTGCCATTCTCGGGCGACTTGAAGTAGAGCGAGGCAGTCCAGTAGTTGCTGAAGTCCTCGCTGTATGTACAAGACGTACAAGTCGAACGTGTCGGTGGATCAAAGACACCAGGCTCCATCTATGGTCTGTCAGTGGACGTGTCGCTCATGGGGCGGGCGGAGTATTACGGTAAGGTTGAAGGAGTTTCCTCCGATAATCTGATGCGTGTGTGGTGAGGGTCGCTGGCCGGGGTTCACCAACGGATCGGCCCTCTCGACGGTGAGCTGCGAGCAGGCGAAGCGCAGCATATTCTGCGCAGAGACGCATTGCGTCAAGAGCGCGCTGGCGAAGACGGTGGACCAAATCATGACGACAATGGTATGACTAGCTACTGGTGAGTTGCGAAAGCCATCAGGTCGCAGTTACGAGGCTTCTTAAGCCAAGGAGTTCTCATGACGTCCATCCAGGGTGGAGGTTTGCTATCAGTGAGTATATTACGGTGTGACGGCAGTAGTACTTCTCCTCCCAGTCATACCAATGACAGCGCGACAGATTCTCCAGTCGTACATCTTGTGACGTTCGTTCCACAACGAAGCTGTGGCGATTGTTCGACTCGATCATCTGGATGAAGTCGTTAATTAACGCAAGTTACCGGCAGTTGCAGCTACAATACCGAAGGCAAATCACAACAAGCTTTCGCTTCCGTGACTGCCGACAGGGATGTTGTTGTGCACAGTCGGTCATCGCACAGGTCTGATATTGATTGCTGCAGCTATCGGCATGTGTGAAGCATGGGGTAACAAGTCCAGGGCAAGATAATCCGGTAGAGAATCTCGGGAGTTGGTAACGCGAGTGGAAGCCGTACGGCAGCGGCCTCTGTCTTCGCTCTCTCATCCTTCCAACTGATGCCATGGACTTCAAGTTCTGAAGAGAGATGAGGTTGTCAAAGTATCGTGTTGCTTTCGGCGGTTTTGCTGCTGTCCGGCTGCGACTGCCCCATTGGGCGGTTTGCGGGGGTGAACCGAGGATGTCTGCGACATCCGAGCGCCAATACATCTACAACATGAAGCTGAGCACCATGTGCGTCGGGGAAGTATCGTCTCTTCTCTGGAGACAGGTACTTCTATTCGTCTCTACTTCAATTGCGTAACTGCTTTGCACGCCAGCATGACGCAACAGCCGCCTCAGGCTTCCTCCTCCTCAACGGGCTTCTTCCAAGCCCTCCCGATACTTCCGCCACAGTATACGAACCCAGCTTCAATACCAGAAACTATCCAAAGCCGTTACTCAAACTCCGCAGAAGCCTCTGATGACAAAATTGTCGCGCGAATATTGGATCTCTACCTGCCACAGGATGCAACGGAGGCCACCAAGCGTGTCCATCACCTAGCACGTTTATCACTTAATCCATCTATTTTGAAGTACGCTACGGACGCAGAGACGAACCACCCGGTACTGCGTCCGCTATCTACCTTCGGTGCTGAAAACAAGAACGATCCCTTATGGACGACGACAGGATGGCAGAAGCTAAAGGAAGTTGGCTATCGTGAAGGTGTCGTCTCGGTAGCTTACGACAAGTCTCACCGGCGCTTCAGCAGACGCGTGGGACAGTTTGTTGGGGGTCATGTATGGGGCCCCACTGGTACCATGACCGCATGCCCTCAAAGCATGACCGATGGCGCCGCGACATTGTTAGACAAACACAAGAACGACGAAGATGGCGATCAGCCGGGTCGAGGCGAGGTACTACGGGAAGCTTATCGGCGGGTGTGTAGTCGCGACCCTGATGTGGCATGGACGAGCGGACAATGGATGACTGAGCGATCTGGCGGAAGCGATGTATCTGGCACGGAGACACTTGCTCGACGTATGACAGCGCAGGAGCTGGACGAGGAGGCAAAACAAGGGAGAGATCGCGATGCAGTTGGTATGCAACTGGGCCCCTGGAACATACATGGTTTCAAGTGGTTCAGCAGCGCAACAGACTCAGAGATGGCTGTACTCCTTGCGCGAACAGACAAAGGCGGTCTGTCTGCCTTCTACATGCCCATGCGACGACGCGTGGGGGCGCTGGAGAGTGATACCCTAAACGAAGAGGCCCCGCCTCTCACCGAGCTCAACGGCGTTCGCATCCAGCGCTTGAAGAACAAACTTGGAACAAAGTCACTACCAACTGCGGAGGTCGAGCTCAACGGCGCACGCGGTTGGCTCATTGGTAGGGAAGGCCAGGGTGTGAAGGAGATTTCCGCAATTCTCAACATCACGCGCTTGTATACCGCAGCTGGTAGTGTAGGGAGTTGGGCGCGTGGTCTGGCAATTTCCCGCGCCTACAGCAAAGTACGCAAAGTGCGTGGCGGGCTACTCCAAGACAACCCAACGCATCTCGCATGGATGGCTGAAGAAACAGTAAAGTACTGGGCTAGTGCGCACTTCGCCTATCTGGGTGTTGCTCTACAGGGCGCTTTGGAACAAGACTGGGACGAGATGGTCGCGAATACAAAAGCCGTGCATCTGATCCCAAGCGACAAGATCACAGTAGCAGCGTTGTTGAGATTGCTACTGCCCGCGATGAAAGCTCAAGTCAGCGTCGCATCAGTTGATGGCCTGCGACAGTGCATGGAATGCCTTGGAGGTGTCGGGTACTGCGAGAACAACGAAGACGGCGGGCTGATGAACATCGCGAAGATCTATCGCGACAACCTCGTCAATCCGATATGGGAAGGCACTGTCAGCGTCATGGCAGAAGATGTCGTTCGGGTACTCACTGATAAGCGAATGGGCGGCGGCGATATCATGAAGAATATCTTCACACCGTGGGTCAGGGACGTGCTCGGTCGATGTGCTCCAATCTTCCAGAACGAGGTCTTGATTGTCGAGGAGAGACTTCAGGCGCTCGACGACGTTGTTCATAATGCACAGAAGGAAGAGCTGCTATACCGTGGACGAGCAATTTTGCAACATCTCGAGGTCGTCGCCAGCAGCGTCGCGCTGATGTACGATGCGCAGGCAAACCCAGACCCTGTTGCACAAGAGATCGCAGCACGATGGATCCACCTGAAGGCACTTTCGCCACAAACGCATCCGCGCTCTCGAACTTGGAAAGAGCTGTCGAGTATGGACAAGCGCATCTTCCTTGGAACAACGGAAGCAGCCGTCGGTGTTTCAGCAAAGCTCTGAGGCAAGTGTGGTTGCGAGGGATGCGATTGGTTGCGCAACAAAGCCCTGGAAACATTCAGCTACTATTGGTAGGATACCAAAACAAAACCGCGCTTCAAGTAGACCGCGGAGTTAATTCATCCAATGCTTCATCTCGTGAAACTATTGAAGTGGGGTTACTTTTGCTGTTAGATATCGATGTACCAAATGTTGCGGGGTCGGATTCGAGGCGAGGTGAGCCCTCTATTATCACGACTTCATATCGGGATTGCAGCGTCGCGTCTTACTGGCACATCTATCTTCATCTATCTCGCAGACATGCATTAAACAGACCCCGAGAATCCGATCCGTACATTTTTCTCATGCGCCCTGCAGTACCTGGATAGACACGTAGGATGCGGCTATGCGCTCGAAACGGCACTTCCGCGACGCATTCGGCACGACCCGCACTCTGCAAAACGAAACATTCCCGCCAAGTCTTCCGCAATAGTCCAACTCCAAGGTTCAGACCAGACAGCTGTTGTTCGAGTAGCCCTAATAACTTTGATAAGATGTTTTGTCTAGTGGCGTCCCCCGTAGCGGGAGTCCGTCAGCGCGCATCCCCACATTCTCCGGTGGTGCCAGGATGCGACCTCCCGAATGGCGCGCCCGCCATCAGCACGATGGGTCTCCACTTCCAATGCCGAGAAGAGTAAAGCTTCATGATTACTACACAACCTTGCAGGTGATATCGGTGGGATACTTGGAAGTCGTGTACTTTCAGCAATGCCCTGGAAGACCTTCAACGTCGAGTTGCGCCTCCTGGGTTGAAGACGAAGCAAATAACACGCTAGAGCGGATGCAAAACAAAATGCGTCAGAGAGGAAGACTACTTCATGACATTGCAACAGTATGCTATGGTTCGGCTGAAGACAGGGTAAAATGCGCCATGCACAAGCCTATTGATAAAGTTTTTCGGACGTCAGCCTTGTACCTCGCATCATGCAGGTGGAGGAATAGGATTGGCGGGTTGCGCAACTGCACGACAAGCAACTTTCCCTTCCTCGCGGACCCAGCGCATGAACTTTGTAGCTCGAAAAGCATATGCAGTCCCTGTATCAACCAGCCAGCGGTTCCCCAATGATCGTTTAGCAAGGATATGTGAATGCACTACGGAAGTGCGAACAGGTCCAATCGCCTTGAAGGCTCGAATGTCGTTGGTTTCACGACACCATCATTCGCTAATATAGCCAGATATTGCGTTAGCTGACACCCACTAGTTCAATACATGGATCAACGGTGACTGCTGATCGTTGCAGCAAATGGTGTCTCACTACATGGCACTGGGAAGCCGAGTGATGCATCATCCGCGGGAAACTAGACAGCCATGAACCGTGGAGCGCAACATTGCCGAGCATGGAGGGGCGTATAAGTTGATAGGCTCGCCGCGCGTTCGTGCTGAAAGGATCAAGACACGAAAGATTGGTCGCAACGAACGAACGACTTCAAGATGGCGACTAACCACAGCGATGTTGAACTCATTCCTGGGACGGAGATTATCAACGAGGATAGCTCTGCACAGAAGACGCTCATACCCACGCCCTCTTCTGACCCTCGCGATCCTTTGAACTGGACTAGGAAATGGAAGCGTATGTTGACCCTTCGCCAACGCCTGAAATTTCGCTGACAGCTATCACAGTCATGGTGATGGCCTCACAATGGCTCTTCACTTGGATCTCTGTTACCGGCGCACTATCCATTGCGCCGATGTTCCCTCTTCTGGGCGCCCAGTTTCACCTTAATAACAATCAGTTGGCTATGCTGACTGGCATCACCGTCATCACACTCGGTTTCGCCAACTTCATCATCGTGCCGCTCTCCAACATCTTCGGTCGACGCGCTATCAGCTTGACCTTCTCCGTATTCATTCTTTTGTCGTGCGTATGGCAGGCGATGGCGACCAGTCACAGCAGTCTGCTGGCGGCGCGTGCTGTCAACGGTCTGGCCTGTGCGACGAGTGAGAGTATCCCTGTGCAGATGATTGCCGATGTCTTCTACCAGCACGAGAGGGGTCTCTGGACGGGTGTATACTTGTAAGTGATGTCTCTTCCCGTGGTCGAGTTCCTTCTAACGTATTCTGTAGTACTGGCTACTTCATGGGTGCTTTTCTGGGTCCGATCATGGCTGGTTCCATGGCAGCTCACTATGGCTGGCAGTCGTTCTTCTGGCTAGAAACCGCATTGTCTGGTGTTTCGGTCATTCTGATCGCACTCACCTTCCCCGAGACCAAATACCATCGCGGCAACACAACAGTCATCCGAACCACCAGCAGTAACGCTAGCAACGAGGACCAGACCAGGCTCGAGAAACAAGCAACGGAGGCCGGAATTCAAGACTCGGAGCGGAGCTCATTCGAGCAGCCCATCACTGTGCAGGGGCGCCCATCTCGCGCCCAGTTCATGCCGTTCATGAAGCCAGATGCGAGGTGGAAGATGTTTGTCGTGCGCGACACCTGGACGCCCATCAAGGTCTTCTTCAACCCGATCATCTTGTGGGCAGGTTTGATGCTTGCTGGCCCAGCCGACATCCTGCTCTTCTTCAATCTCACCGAGTCGCCTGTCCTCGCTGCACCTCCGTACCTGTTCAGGCCAGACCAGGTCGGATATACAAATTTCGCGTTCGCGATTGGCGCCTTGTTCGGGCTAGCAACAGCAGGCCCATACTCCGACTGGGTATCTGCCCGCGCAGCACGTAAGAATGGCGGCGTGCGCGAAGCGGAGATGCGCCTTCCGGCTTTGTTCATTTACGTCGTCATCATGATGCTCTCGATCATCCTCGGCGGCATTGCATACCAGCAGCAGTGGGCGTGGGGTCACATCGTGGTTTGGGGCTACGGTCTGGCTGGCCTCAGCGTCACCACAGTACCCACTATTGCCATCGCCTACGCGATCGACTGCTACAAGCCCATCTCCGGAGAGATCATGGTCGTCGCCACAGTCTGCAAGAACTTCATCGGTTTCTCGTACAGTTACTGGGTCTTCGACCTTGCGCACGTGAGCAAGAATGGGTGGATTACCCCCGCCATGGTCATTTTCGCTTGCGCAATGGGGCCTGCGCTGTTTGTATTCCCGTTGTACTTCGGGTTGGGCAAGAGGATTCGGCGATGGACGAAGGACAGTGATGTTCACCGCATGGAAGAAGTGATCTAGATGGTCAGTGGTAGTGCGTTGACGCGTTGATGCGTCGGGAGAAGCTCCGTTTGCATGGCTTTTGGAAGGCATGGTCGAGTGCCATGCCTGTTGTATTAGGTCACAATATACCCATTTCTTTTGTTAATTCGGAGTTCCTTTTCCTTTGCCGTCTGTTGTGCAATGCGATGTCGATGATGGGGTTATGGAGTGGCCAACGAGAACGCGTTCAAGAGGGTACCGCCAAAAGTGGGTCTCCTCTGTGCATACAGTCTATCTAACCAAGGGCGCGCTAAGACATGGCATGCGCTAACGCAAACAGGTAATTTTCGAAACATAGCATGCTAGCGTCATGCCACCTAAGAGAATTAGCGCACTTAGCAATAAAATTTTTAATTTAAACAATTCTTAGATTTATTCTAAATTAATTTAGACTAGATTGCACCTATGTTACAATATAGAGCCTTCTTCGCCTATATTTAATGCTAAGCCTAAATTTCTTAACCTTAACGCATTAGACCTAGATATCTATAAAAGATTTAACCTGTATTTATCTAGCCCTAGTAAGAGTAATAATAGCAGTATTAAAGACTAGGTTAAGGTGTGTAGTTAAATTAATTCTAGAATAATTCTAGACTTATTTAAACTAGAGCATAGTTTAACTTACTTCTAGAAATAGTAGCGCGCCTCTCTTAGAGGCTAGAGTTGTTAAGCACACTACACATCTACTCTAATACTCTAGCACAGACTCTAGAGGCTATGCCTATATTATTTAAGTTTTAAAAGTAAATAGGTAATATTCTTTAGTTAAGAGAGTATTGCAAGATGCTAAAAGTGTAAGTAGCCTGCGCAGACCGTTTCTAGATTAATTTAGAACTAATCTAGCACAAGTAGTTTTAATACTATAGAGCTAGCAAGGTAGAGAAGAAAAAGACTTTTAGCCTCTTCTTAAATTTAACCGCCTTAAGATAGGTTTTTAAGTGCTCTAGTGTTAAGACGTGCAAACACATTTAGAATTAATTATAGAATTTTACCTACTTACAAGTAGATAAAGGCCTATATAAGACACTTAGGCAGATAAAGACGTCTATAGGCTAAATTAAGTAGAATAAAGAGAGAAGAAAGGCTAGAAGCTGCTTTAATAGGCTTCGGCGTTAGTTTAGAGATAGTATTTGTACTAATAGAGAGAGTTCCTGTAGTCTAGAGTTATTTTAGGCAGAATTAATAGTATGTACAGTTAAACCGTTTCTAGAACAATTCCTAACTAATTCTAGTAAGTAATAGAGCCTGCCTCTTAGTTTATTACCTATAGCAATCGCGCTCTAGGTAATACAGAGCACTATATCTAGAGGGTACTGCTAAGAATTAACATTGCCTACCTGCAAGCTCTTCTAGATAGCAGAGCAGAGGGCCCTTATAAGAACTGCAATATAGTTAAGCCCTAAATCTCGCGCCTAAAAGACTATAGTAAGTTCTTAAAGAATGTTCCTAGATTAATTCTAAACCGTTTTAGGTACTAACTATACCTAGAGTTAAGGCAAACTTGTCCTATAAGACTATAATGTAGTAATTAACATTATTATCCCCCTGTATTTTAAGCGGGTCCTATACTTTATAGTAGTTTTAACTAGTATACACTAGTATATACCCCCTCTACCTTAGCAGCTAGACATAGAATTAGTTAAGAATATAGTTTGCATATTCTAATTAATATTAATGCTAAACACTATAAGATGTAAGCTATTTCGTAGATATTAATCCTGAATTGTTTCTAAACCGTTCTAGCTACCTTTTTGCAGTCTAACTAGTTCGCCTCCTACTTAAGGCAGCGTAGAGTTTTATTAATTAAGAAAC